GCTAAATACAAGCAGAGGATGCTTAACTTTGCCCGTCCCGCAGGTCCTACCTTGCCCGCGCCATCGGAGACGGTCCCGCCCACGACTCGTCAATCCGCCGATGACGATTCGGAAGAAGAGGACAAGGGCAAAACCAAGGGACGTCGGCCACTCTCTGTGGAAGAGCTGCAGCTCAAGTGTAAGGAGCAGTGGCTTTGCTATTTCCCGTGGCTCTTCATCAGTGAGACGAAGGACGGGCGACCGTGCATGCGCTGCAGCGTCTGTATGGTGTTCGGGGACCCGCACTACAAGTACGGCCGCTACGGTGAAGGCGGCCTCGACATTCAGAAGCAGACGATGCGCAAGCATCATTTCAGCGTGAAGCACGAGGCCGCGGTGCTGCAGAAGGAACAACGTGACGGCCTTAAGAAAGGCCAGAAGTCCATGACAACCTTCGACAAGGGTGACGACGACGCCAGGCGAATTGCTCGATTAATGGCAATCGCTCTCTTCATCTGCAAATCTGACGCCCCTATTGTGCTTTTCGTTGCTCTTGTTCAATTCATGGCTGAGCAGGGCACGCCGGACATGCCCGTGAAGGAAAACGGCACGTACTACAGCGAGTGAGTAAAATTTCTGTATCCCGCTTATGTCTGTATGTCTTCTCCACCATGCTCACGCCCCTATTGTTTTTGTGTTACAGGTACGGTTTTGCACAGCTAGTGGCGACGATGGTGTCATACCTGCGGTCCCGTCAGCTGCAGTACATCCGAGCCAGCCCCTTTCTCGGGATCCAGCTGGATGAGAGCACGGACCGTAGGCGCGGGAAGCATATGATAGTATACATGACCTTCGTGCGCGACAACCTTCCAGTCACGGAGTTCTACACCCTGCTCTCAGTGGAGCAGTGTGACGCCGCCTCGCTGCTAACTGGCCTGCTAACGCATTTTGAGACGGCGGGCATCGATCTGCAGCGCATTAGCGGTATGAGCACAGACGGCGCTTCTGTGATGACTGGCCAGCACAACGGGTTGGTCGCGCGGCTGCGCACGAAGATGCCTCATCTCGTTTCGTGCCACTGTGTCGCTCACAGGCGAGTTATACCAAGTTGTATGTTGATTTGCCTATCTTGCGTGTACTAAAATGTTTCGGTTGATTCATGCAGGGAGGCGCTGGCAGCAAAAGATGCAGCAACCGCGTTCCCTGACCTCCAGATTGTGGACAAGGCGGTCCGGTCTGTGGTCGACATTCTCGGGCGCCTTGTGGTCCATACGCGTTTCAAGGAGCTGCAAGAGGTCATTTGCGAGACACATTTGGAGATGCAGGGCATCAAGGACGTGAGGTGGCTTTCCCGAGGCAATGCAATCCAGCGACTCGTCGCGGTGTTTCCTGCGGTTGTGATCGTCTTGCAGGAATTCGACAAAAAGATGTACGCGACAGTGACTAGTTTCAAATTCCATTTCTTACTCTACTTGCTTGCCGATGAGTTGAAGGAGCTGAACCTGCTCAACTTGAAGTTCCAGCAACGACAGGTACGCGTTAATGTTTACGCTTGCAACCGCCTTCGTAAACCATAGTCACAATCTAACCATTTCTGCTTCATGCTTTTGCAGATTGACGCCACCCATGTGCTGCAGACGGTACACAACACAACACTCCTGCTGCGGACTCGTTACCTCGACAGCAACGACGAGACGTTCGGGCAAAGCGGCGCTGCGCTGGGTCCATTCTTGGCGAAACATGCCTCGGGGAAGTGTCGGGAGGTCAAGGTTGATGGCCTAGATTCCACCGGAGTGCCAACAACTCACCGCTACCTGCTGCACGAAGAGGCTATCATGGGGCAGCAGAGCAAAGGCGACCTCAACTCCTGTTTGAAGCTCGGGCGGGACTTCGTTGTTGAGCTGATTAAGCAGCTCGACTACCGACTGCATGATCTCGCGTCGCTCAATGGCGCGAAGCTCTTCAAGAAGTCCCAATACCCCAAGTCACAGGCTAAGCGCGAGCGACGGTTGGCGCAGTGGTTGCAGTCGCTGCGCGACATGTACAAGAAGCATCCCGAGGATCCGGACACTCTGCCAGGTGTGTTAGGCGTATTGTCGTGAGATCTCGGGCTTAATCGTTTTGAAGCCGCGTCGCGTTACATTTTATTCATGCGGCCGCATCTTTGTCTTCCTCTATTCACCCGCCCATTCGTACAGGTGTGGACTGGGCCAAAGCACAGAGGGAGCTCAACACCTTCGCGACAATCATGAGCACCCACCAGGAGGATGTCGGCTTCGCGGAGGGCCTGAAGCACATGCTCTCCTCACCAGATTGGACAACGAGCTACCCCAACATTGTCCGCCTGTGGATCGCTGTAGCCGTGCTCCCGCTGAGCACTGTGGAGTGCGAGCGCGGGTTCTCGCGGCAAAACGTGATCAAGAGCTGGCTGAGGGGGAACCTGTGCGACGCCAAGCTTGGTGAGCTCATGACCGTGTCTCTTCTGAGCTACAACATGGAGTGGCCCGAGTTGGTGGCTCGGTGGCGCAAATCCAAGAAGAGGAGGCCTGCAAAGGATGTGTTGCTGGCGGGAGTGGAGAGGGAGAGCAAGCGCAATAGAAGAAGATCCGCAGCAGCAGCAGAGGCCCACGCAGCAGCAGCAGCAGCTGCTGTGGCTGCGGCAGAGGCAGCAGCACGCGAAGCGGCAGCAGTAGCAGAAGCAGCCAGGCTGGATGCAGAGTTCCCCTGGCTCAGTCGCAAGGGGAATGCTAACTATCCTATTCCAGTGCCGTCTGATAGCCTAGACAGCTGTAGTGATGCTGATGATAGTGGTAGCGAGTCTGACTGATACGTAGAATGGTGAAATGATACTTAGTTTTCACATTGTATGTTGTAGAATTGATGTAGTTAGTGTAGACCACGTAGAATTGTTCATCTGTCTAATCAGACTTGTGATATTGTTTCGTCCTAGAGGTCAGACGAAAAAAAAGCGCCAATCTGAGCGTAAGACGAAATTTTTTTTTTTACCCATCCTGTCAGACAGGCCTGAATCCTAGCGAGAGCCCTGTTTCGTAGAGCTCCAACTCCTGTTAGAGCAGAAATCTCTGCACATCCATCCATCCAAAGCAGGGAAGGAAATAATAATATTTCAGGCGTCTTAAAACTCGTACGATAGCATGGACAGTAGCAACGGAATGAAACACAAGCGCGCAGAGATGGATACAGATAACACTCGCATATTCCCTGTACCATCTGCTCGAGAGAACCCCAGCGAGGCAAGCCGATAAGCACAGAAACGCAGTGCTGTGATACGGACAAATAAAGGCTGTGTAATCAGCAAATTCTATGCCACCAATAAGGTTTGTTTATCAAGACCAACTAAGCCTGTGTGACAGGCATTGTCGGCCTGCGTTCCCTCCTCTAGTCAGCCCTTCTTCACAATCAGCATCAGCAATTTCTGAGGCGCCTCAAGAATTTACCTTCTGGATAGAATTTATATCCCCATCGAAACATGCCGAGGCGCTCATACACCCAATGGTATATGCGTTAGGCCGCATTCTTTCCTTCAGTATCAGCGCATATAGCTCCAATGTCGTCTTGTGATCCACTTGCGAGGACAAAGAAAGAAGGCCGTTGACAGTGGCCACGTCTGCTGGTATTCCCTGGGCCCGCCGTTTGTGATACTCCTGCAGGACCTTGTCAAGGCTGTGAACGGGCATAGGGATGTGTTGAGGGGAGGAGCGGCCAAGGGGGGGAGGACCGGGCTGTTTCTGGAGGGTCAGAATTTTTCTGTGATACTCCTGCAGGGCCTTGTTGAGGCTGTGATGTGAACAGGCATTCGCACGTGTTGAGGGGAGGGGCGGGCAATGAGGGGAGGGAAGAGGGAATGAGGAGGCGAAGTGTGGGGGAGGATCGAGGGAAGGATGGGACGGATAGGGAGACATGGCAAGGACAGGGGTTTCACGAGTGGAAGGAATGGAATGGGGGGACAAGAGATGGTAAGGGGAAGGGGGGGTTATGAGTGGAGAGAAGGGTTACTGTATGCATGTCCCTATGTATCTCTTGTCTCCGACCGGCCTCCCTACGCTTATACTGTTATGCCGCCCTCCCTACCATTTTTCCATTCTACCGTTCTACCATCCTCTCGAAGCAAGCACTAGGAACAGTTGGAAGCGAATCTAGAAACAACAAATGTTGTTGTTGCTGCTGCTGCTGCTGCTGCCGCTTCTACTGCCGCTGCCGCTGCCACTACTGCTGCCGCACTGCCACTGGAGCTGTTGCTGCTGCATGCTCACCAGACTTGCACGCTCACCAGACTTGCAGGCTATCTCCACGCTCAACAGAATTGGTGAGGGAGAGAAAAGATATGGTCGCATCGACAAAAGATGAGGACTTTATAAACAAAAGATCCTGCTCCAGCTGGCGGAAGCAAAGGAAGGTGGTGGATCCACACACTCACTCAAGAAGGACAAAGTGTGGGAAGAAAAGGAGCACCACATTTCAGCGAGACAGGTGTGGAGAGAGACAGCTTTCATAATTATTAGCAAGAGGCTGAATTGACACGAAGTGTATCACCGTCAATTCAGTGTCAATTCAGTGACACATGTGTTACAGACAAACCAAACCGATACATGAGTGTGCATGTGACTCCTTTCTCGCTGCTTATGATTATTAGTCCCGCTGCTGCGTGCATGCGTTACTCTCTCACACATACACAATTAGCATATACTTTTTAGGCGCCTCACAATTGTGTGGATGGTTCACTTTCATGCACACAAAATAAGCAACGAACACACAACGTGTCCTACCCACCCACCTACCCACCTACCCTCCCTCTTACCATGTGATGCCAACCACCACTCTACCCACCCCGCTCGCTCACTCACCTCGTGGAGCAGGCATCATTACCAGCAGGTACCACTCACCTCCTCCACGCTCTTCTGGACTGGTTCCTGCTGTGGCAATGATGCCAATGATGCATCTGTGGCATTGACAGGTTGCCGTTACTTCTGAAGATTCTCAGAAGAGAATTCTCAAAAGCATTACCAGCAGGCACCACTCACCTCCTCCACGCTCTTCTGGTTTGGTGCCTGCTGTGGCAATGATGGTGACGATGATCCATCTGTGGCACTGACAGGTTCGCTTGCACGACCAGGGGGGTGTGTAGGGGAAGGCCGGGGAGGGGAAGGGGGAGCGGGGGGGTGGGGCTTCAGGAAAGCGTGTAACCAGGGTCAGAAAGAAGTCGTGTTGTGCTAGATAGAGAGGCTTCACTTTGTCGCACGAAGTGTTCACTCGAGACAAGACAAGAAAGCGACAGTGAGCTCATTGGGTTGGGATAAATGAAGTGGAGCTTAATGCATGCATGGTGACCTCAAGTCCTCTCACCACGCATGCGTCACCCATCTCCACGCATGCATAACGCATTGCACAGCACTGTCGGATCGGGGTAAGTTAACCAAACCAAACGCAGCAAGCAAGTGCCTCCAGTCCAACCCCACAGACCCACCTGTTGCAATGAGTGCTGCGTGTGTCATATTCTTTGGCCAGTGAGAGTGCTGCTAAGAACTCGTCCATCCCAGTACTCGCCTTCACCAGCTCCGGGTAATACTGATGGGTGGGTGCACAGATGCAGGTCACGAGGAGAGAAGGCGTGGCATGGGATGGGATAGCATGGCTGCATGAGAATATTCTTTAAAATTTTCGTAAAATACGCCTAATTTGAGAAATAACTTGCGGATGGAGAAAAAAAAAGCGACAAAAGGGCTGACTGTTAACGAAGCCTCCCTCCACTCCACCACATACCTTCCTTTCCATCACTCACTTCAACACATTCTTCTCTGGTCCAATTCCATCCTCTATGGTCCATGATCTGTGAGACCCCGCCGCCACCCATTTGCCATGGTCTGGCAAGCCTTGACTCCTCCTTCCTGCCCGCCAATTCTGCTGCCTGTTGCGCTGACGCCGACGCCGACGCAGAAGTTATCGTGAATGGTTGGATGAAAAGGTGAGGATGGAAAGGGAACTCTGAGTTTGAAATTTATGGGGGTTGATGGTGCGGGGGTTTATCTGCTAAGAGGAGGGGAGTTTGTTCCAGAGGACATGGTTCAGGGAAGCGGGAACGTGATAGTTGAAGTTGGAGTGTGTTTCAATCGAATACATAAGAACGACAAATATTACAAAAAAAACGAAACATATATGTCCTGGAGGAGGTTATTTTAAGCGAGTGATTGGGAAGGTAGGAGGAAGTTTAGATCCAGGAAAGATGAACCTATGAGTAGGATTTTGGGGCCATTACTTTGGATTCAGCCTTACCTTACAAGTCAATTAAATCTGACAATTCTAGCAACCTGACCTGACAAGAGCATTGTTAAGGGGTCGCCGAGCGGACCCAGCACCGCGGGATAGAAAAATAGGCTGCTAGACGGGGTGATCGCGTAAAGATCAGGGTAAGAGCGACAAGTGACCAGAGGGAAATGTGGACAGAATTACAACGCGAGGTGAGGCGTACTACGGGAAGGAGAATGCGAAAAGGAGCGAGCGGGTGGGAAGGAGAAGACCGGGACCGGGTGCAGCGGAAGAAGAGGATTGATTCATAGTTGCTGGTGCTCGCGGGACATTTCTCGATTTGTGGGTGTCTCCAGCGGTACCTGGTTGTTCTGCTTGGACGACAGGCGGCTCGCGTTACGCGATGACGAGACGCGGACACGAGCGGATGATAGATTGCGGAGCAGCAAAGCCGCCATGCCGCTGGGATTGTGGAAACAGACTAGGCAGATACAGGTAGGGAATAGTGGAAGAGACATACATAAAGCGGTAATCTACAGTGTGGAAACCAGGAACAATCTTGTTCAGTAAGGGCGTGTGCAGTTGCCGGTTCTCTATAGAAATGTGGCGATTACGAATCGGAAGTAGAGATCTTTGTAAAATAAGTCCCACACGAGGTGCTAAGCGCGGTCCATAATTGCACACATATGAATAAAGAAGCGCATCCTGTTGGGTCTGTTTTCTAATTACATTGAAGTCTGTAGAATTGGGGGCCTCTTGCGGATCACTGCACCCTGAACGTCGTTTCGCACAAACGAGTTCATTTTCTGGTTTGTGACGAATGCGGATGACGCTAGAGGAACACGGCCTTGTCAGTAGTCGGGTTTTAGCTTACCACTGACGCTGACTGATTTTCATGACGAAAGATTAGTAGCAGGGCCGCGTACTTGAACGAACGGTGTATTTGTCGATAAGTCCAGTTCGAGTAGTCGTCCGCAAACACGTCAAATACTCGCCTCGCCGCCAGTTTCAGTTTGTCGAACGCTGACCGTCGCCTGAGTCGCGGATTCTCGTTAACAATCGCTGATAGTCGCTGCAAATAGCTCTGACTCGCTCGTCAGTAGTCGCGCTGCGAAATTCGCCAGCTGTAAACGCAGACGTCGTAGACTGTCGCCCATGCCCGTCTTGTCGCCAGGATGCCGCCATTGTCGCATCTCCCCTTCGCCATATCGGCGGACGCGCTGCTGATTCTCCGATCGCACCGCATAGCCACGTGTAAGCTGCTTTCTCCCTTTGCGTTTCACCGTCTCCCGTCTCCCTTTCCGTTTCCCCATCTTCAGCTATTTTTTCTCCCTTAACCCCCCTTCCGTCTCTCATTCTCTCCCTCTTCCTTCCTGTCTGCCTCTTACTTTGATCATCTCTCCATGAACCCTGCGTTCGCGGCTTCTGTGTGTGTGCATGCGTGGTCCATGCACTGATCTTGCATGCGTACATGCTCCGAGGATGGTTGGTGTGTGAATGCGTGCACAGTTCTTTGGTGCATGTATGCTTGGAGGATGGTTCATGGAACTTGAATTGGCTCTTGTGTGCATGCATGCTGGGGGGGCGGGGGGGGGGGGCGTGGAGTGGAGCATGCTTCGGGGGATGGGTTGTTTTTATGTGTGCATGTGCGGGCGGGCGGTGATGCATGGAACTTGCATGCCTGCGTGCATGCTTGGGGGTTGCATGGAGTGGAGCAGTGGAGGATTTCATCATGGCGGATGCTCGCATGCTTCGGAGGGATGTGGAGGGCATGCCGCATGGCCAAGCCAAAGAGGACGTTTTGCAGGTGATGGTTATGATGGTGGTCATGGTGATGCTGATGGTGATGATGGTGATGGTGATAGGGGACATTCACATGTGTTCATATGTGCACGCACCTATGTGGGCGTGACATTGCTGTCATTCAGGTGCGTTGTAAGCAAGTTCTCCTTTGGCATGGATGCGCGTGGATGTGCATGGATGTGCGTGGATGTGCGTGGATGCGCGTGGATGTGCGTGGATGCGCGTGTATGTGCGTGGATGTGCGTGGATGGATGTGGACCATCTCATCCCATGGCAGGCCATAGACAAGCTAAATCACCACATGGTGCATGCCATGTGCATGCCAGCACATGCCAGTGGGGACCAACTCCTGAGGAACCTGCACTGGGAGGGCTTGGACCAGGAGAACATTCTTGGGCGGCAGCAGGCACAAGGGCAGGGGCGATTCAAAGTAGATGAAGAGGCGAAGTGGCGTCACAGGGGAGAGCCATGGCAGGAGCAGTGGCAAGAGGGTGACGCTGGTGGTGGTGGGAGGCAGTGGCGAGCTGCTACAATCAGCACAGGGTGCTCTAGGTGAGACTGTGTTGCTGTGTGGTGCTGTGTGATGCTGTGCGGTGCAGTGTTTGTGGTGTGGTGTGATGTGGTAGGAAAATAGGGGTGAGCGCAGCAGCAGCAGCAGAAGCGACAGTGGTGGGATGAGTGTAACAGTCAGGTAGGCAAGAATGCATTTCACATTCATGACGCATGGTGCGCGAAACTGTGGTTCACATTCATGTCCACATTCTCAGCACCAAAAGCTATCAACCTTCCAACCATCCCACCAATGTCAACAAAGTCTTGAAAAAGTTGCAGATTTTCACGATCCTGCATTCAGTTTTCCTGCTATCACCATCTTATCTCATCCCTTATTCCCCCACCCATTCTGATCCTAGGCTCCTCCAATTCCCCATGTCCGACCATATTCATGCTAGTGTCCCAGTTACTTTTAAGTCGAAATCTCCCCGCCTCTCTATTTCGCCCAACTCACCCTCCTGTGTCCCATCCATCCAGTCTCGATTCTCTTCTGGGCGGTGGCCTTCCCCTGGCTGCAGTGACTGAGATCACTGGCGCTGCTGGTGCAGGCAAGACGCAGGTGGGGTTGGGGCCGTGGGGCGACTAGAAGTTTGAGAATGTTCAGGCTGTCAGGAAAAACACTCTTTCAATACCCATGGACTGTGATGGGGGATTAAAGGGAATGGGTGTGAGGTATTGAGGAGGAAGGTGTGCGGGGATAATGAAGAACATGGGTGTGTGGAAATGGGCGTTGTTGGTGGGAACTCGGGACGGGCAAGACCTCATGACATGGTTGGGGAAACCAAAAGTGGGGAAAACACATGGTTTCACGGCACATGGTGATGACAGCCGTTTAATGTAGCACAAACTCTCCTCCCATGTGACAACCGTCGAGCGTAACACACACATGGAGAGCCTCGTCCATCCCTCCTCCCACCTGTCTCCACCTGTTTCCCTCTCGCTCTCGCTCTCCCTCTCCAAACCCCCCACCCCCCCAGTTCTGTCTGCAAGCCGCGGCAGTTGCTGCAATCGCCCCACTGCTCGCCCATCCCAGTCCTTTCAAATCCTCTCAAACAGAACACAGCTCAGCCCCTCAAGGCAGCGCGCCGCCCGGCACAGGGTCGGCAGTGCCGCCCAGTGTACAGTCAACACCAGTGCCGCCCAGCTGGGGGTCGTCGGTGGCGTTTGTGGACACGGCTGGGAGCTTCTCTGCTGCTCGCATTGCCACTGTGATTGGGCGAATGATGGGGTCCAGGGAGAGGTGCCAGGTGAGCGAGCGAGCATAGAGAAGGAAAGAGATCTGAGTGTGAGATGGGGTCCAATGCATGCTACAGAGCACAGTCCCTCTCTCCCCATTCATTCATCAGAGCAACTCACAGCTCCTCTGCTGCCCTCATTGCCACACACACTTGTTGAGAGTTGAAGGCAGGAATTGGTGTGGATGAACTATATATATGACATGCATTCCTCCATGGTGTCTCAGGAATCGAGGGCCGTTGTGACTCGAGCGCTGAAGGCGGTGGTGCAGATGAAAGCATATGACATACATCCCCCCACCTCCCGATACCGACTCTTCTGCCCCCTCTCAGGAATCAAGGGCCATTGTGACTCGTGCACTGAAGGCAGTGGTGCGGATGAAGGCCTATGACATCCACTCGCTGCTGTCCCTCCTTGCAACCATTGCACAGCACAAGAGAAAAGCCACTCAGGTGCGCGGGGCACAAGAGACAGCCACACCGGTCAAGGATTCGAATAAAAATCCTTAATCTGCTAGCTATCCTGGTTCCTGTACTGTGCATTGTCCTCAACACACACACCACGTAACCTTACGCCTCTCTTCCCTTGTCGTCCGCTCTTCCATGATCTCTTCCTGGTTCCTGTACTATGCAGTCATCGGATTTCTTCTCTGTCCTTCGTCTGCTCATCATCGATTCTGCCTCTGCTGTTGTCTCCCCTGTGCTTGGGGGCCATGGTCCACAAGGTATGGATTTGGGAGGGGCAATGTGAAGAGGAGGGAAGGTGCTGCTGGTTGCAAATGACATATAACGTCGTGTTTAGAAAGTTTTTGAGTTTTTTGCTGGTTATCCTGCGTCCTCTCTCCTCACTTCCGTCTCTCTTTTTGCTCGCCCGCTTTCCAGGCCACGCTCTGATGATGAGTCTCAGTCGCATGATTCGTCTGCTGGCCAACGAGTTCGGGCTTGCTGTACTGGTAATTATTGCTGTCATTCTCTACACTTCACATTTTAGTGATTCCATATCTGTTTTTGTGTTTGTGTTCAGGTGATCCTATAGTGTATGCACCTTTGTAACCTTTTGTTTGTCGATGCAACATTGTTCGCAGTACGGTCAATCAAGGACATATATATTGACCGTCTTCTCTCTCGCCTTTTTTTCTCTCCCGCCTGCCCTCCTCTCTTCCCCTTGGTTTCTATAATCAGATCACCAACCACTCAGTATCAAGTGAAGATGGCACTTTTAAGCCGGCGTTGGGGGAGAGCTGGAAGGTGACACCGCATGTAAGGCTCGTCTTGGATCGAGATTACGACTCTGATTACTGCCAGATCACGCTTTCAAGACACCCATCCTTGCCTGGTGGCGCATCCACAGTGGTGAAACTTGGGAAGTATGGCATCGTGCCAGCGGAAAATGGTGGATGAACTTGAGTCGGGTTTGATATTTGCTAGAAGTTCTGCCAACAACTTGTACATTTGTACAAAAGGAGCAGTCCATTTTGGAGCCGTCATTTCGTTATCGAAATCCGCAATACAAGAGATTCCTCTCGATAACATTCGCCATCCTTCTGGCCCTTCGCGAAATCACACGCAGGCAGCCTCTCAAGTGCGCGCATCTGGCCGCAATTTCACTAGAGTCCGATTCCGCTCAATTGACGGCTAAGATTTCCTCGATCATATCCTGTGTTTACACCTGCTGTATGTTCCCGAGACACTCGCAACCCGTCCAGTCCTTTCCACAGTGAAGAATAAACCGTCAGACTCGGAAGAAGTTCCAAGTCTCTTGCGATTTTCTCACGAACTTATTCCAAACGTTGATAAAGATCGGCTAAAAGCCCCTTATTCGAGAATTTTGCTCAATACCGCGGAAGCGCGGTTTAATAAAACAAACCGCGATTCCGCGGGATTGAGCAAAACTCTCCCCTTATTCGGTATCTGATTCAACTCGTTCCCTCGTATCGCACAAACTTGGGCTATTTTTGCATTTGAAGCGGCATCTTCGCCGTTTTTTGCGTGCGTCTCCCAATGGCTGTCTGTCGCCTCCACGTGTCACTCCAATGCGTGTCATCTCAAGGACCTCACGCCTCGCTATCTGCGCCACGTCAGCCAGCTACGGCCGGCCAATGGGCGTCAACACCGTTCCATTCGTGGTCGACCTCGTTACAGTCAGCACCGAGAAGAGAATGTGGCGACGCATCGTCGAATCGTAGACGCCAGAGACGATTCTCACGGCTGTCAGCCGCAGCGGCTTCGAGCGACGACGCCTCCTCAGCCGGTACCGGCAGTGAAGCCGGCGACGAAGCCGACGCGCTAACGGCGGAGTTCCTGCGCTTCGTCTCGGAGACCCAGCAGCAGTGGCCGCTGGCGGACCGGCACCCCACGGCGCTGCTTCCGCCCACCGCGGTGGTGCGCGCGCAGATGGACGCGCTCATGCGCAACGACTGGCCGGAAGCGGACAGTGGTATCCAGACGGCGTTCAACTTCGCCATGCCTCATAAAGTGGACGAGATCCTGCCTGGATCGGTGAGGTGTTTGTGATGCCTCACGAAGTGGACATAAGTTTGCCTGGGTCAGTGAGTTGTGATTGGACGAGTGAGTTGGGAGCGGTGGAGCTGAGAGTATGTTCCGATAGCATTCAACTTGGTAATGCCACACGGAATGGGTGAGTTTTGCTTGAAAGGGCGAGGCTTGTGGGAACTCAATAGGACAACCCTGTTCCTTAAAGAGCCAATTTTTCATCCCCTTTCGCTCAACCACCCTCCCATCCTTCCAGGCCCAGCCGCAAGTGAAGAAAGCGCATTATGCGATATCAACGCGAGCAGTACCTGTGTGTGGACCGGACGGCTTCAAGGCTCCCTCAACCACCCTCCCATCCCTCCAGGCCCGGCCGCCAGTGAAGGAAACGAGGGCACGGGACGCCAGTGCCTGTCTGAGAAAGGTTCTAAGGAGCTGTCTCACTCCCCTCAGTCCCTCCAAACCCGACTGCCAGTGAACGAAGCGTGGGACGCCAGTGAGCGGTACCTTTCTGAGGAAGGCTCTTAGAAACTGACTTTTCCCGCCCAGTCCCTCCAGGCCCGGCCGCCAGTGAAGGAGGCACGAGCGTGGGACGCTAGCGAGCGGTACCTTTCAGTGGAGGGCTTTAAGAAGCTGCTGCGGGAACCCATGTACGCTGCCCTGCTGCACTGCGATTCGTGGGAGGTGAGAGCCGATGCATGTGGTTTGACAAGTTCTGAAAGACCACGAGCCCATGAGTGCGTGTTGGCTGTGCCTGTCTGTCTACCTTGACTCTAAGACGCTGCTGCGGGAACCCATGTACGCTGCCCTGCTGCACTGCGAGTCATGGGAGGTGAGAGCCGATGCATGTGGTTTGACAAGTTCTGAAAGACCACGAGCCCATGAGTGCGTGTTGGCTGTGCCTGTCTGTCTACCTTGACTCTAAGACGCTGCTGCGGGAACCCATGTACGCTGCCCTGCTGCACTGCGAGTCATGGGAGGTGAGAGCCGATGCATGTGGTTTGACAAGTTCTGAAAGACCACGAGCCCATGAGTGCGTGTTGGCTGTGCCTGTCTGTCTACCTTGACTCTAAGACGCTGCTGCGGGAACCCATGTACGCTGCCCTGCTGCACTGCGAGTCATGGGAGGTGAGAGCCGATGCATGTGGTTTGACAAGTTCTGAAAGACCACGAGCCCATGAGTGCGTGTTGGCTGTGCCTGTCTGTCTACCTTGACTCTAAGACGCTGCTGCGGGAACCCATGTACGCTGCCCTGCTGCACTGCGAGTCATGGGAGGTGAGAGCCGATGCATGTGGTTTGACAAGTTCTGAAAGACCACGAGCCCATGAGTGCGTGTTGGCTGTGCCTGTCTGTCTACCTTGACTCTAAGACGCTGCTGCGGGAACCCATGTACGCTGCCCTGCTGCACTGCGAGTCATGGGAGGTGAGAGCCGATGGATGTGGTTTGACAAGTTCTGAAAGACCACGAGCCCATGAGTGCGTGTTGGCTGTGCCTGTCTGTCTACCTTGACTCTAAGACGCTGCTGCGGGAACCCATGTACGCTGCCCTGCTGCACTGCGAGTCATGGGAGGTGAGAGCCGATGCATGTGGTTTGACAAGTTCTGAAAGACCACGAGCCCATGAGTGCGTGTTGGCTGTGCCTGTCTGTCTACCTTGACTCTAAGAAGCTGCTGCGGGAACCCATGTACGCTGCTCTGCTGCACTGCGAGTCATGGGAGGTGAGAAAAAAGGGGAAAGAAAGTAGGGGGGCGGGCACTCAGCAGCCAAGTTGCAAATCTCTGGGTACAAGAGTGGGAAAACCGAACCACATTACATCCATTTCCTGCTACCATAACTTCCGTGTCTTATCTGAACCCACCTAACTACGCGCATGATGTCCTTTGTCACATTTCCGACTTAAAGCCCAAAGCCTGAATTGCAGAGTTGGGGAGGTGAACTGGGCCCAGTTTGCGTCTGGCTACTACTAGGTTTCGGGAAAGAAGGGTTGGACAAAGTTTCCGAACCTCCAGCTCTCTACTTTCCCAAACCTTTTTTCCCGCGTTGACTTCCGTTGAGCAATTCAGGTTCAGCCCCTCAAGAGATTCTTCCCTGCCCTGCTATATAAAGTCATGATTTTCTGCATGGCAGTTCACACCCACCATGATGTTCCACGGCAAGGGCGACAGCAAGGCCGTGCCATTACTGAAGGTCCCAGATGCTAAATCCACGCCCTCCATGCTGCATGGCAGTTCGCATCACCCATGGCTTTCCACGGCAAGGCCGACAGCAAGGCACTGCAGGCAGGGGAAGATTAGCGCTGCTAGATCCACGCCCTCTCTTCGCGTGTCCTATTTCCTTACTCCAACCCACCACGACTTCCCTTGTGGCAGTTCGCGTCCCCCATGGCTTTCCACGGCAAGGCCGACAGCAAGGCACTGCAGGCAGTGAAGGTCCGAGCTGCTCCCACTGCCGCCGTCACTCCCTCGTCATCTTCCGCTGCTACTGCTGTTGAGGCTGCAATGGATGGTGGTGCTGCTGATGGTGGCGCGGAGTTGCTTGGCCGGACAAGAGAATACACCTACACGTTCTGCTTGCAAAAGGTGTGCGTTTGGGGCGACACAGGGTTGTGAAGCTGGGTTAGGTGGTGCGAATTTGATTGGGTGGACACAGGACAAGAGCGCACCCACAGGTTTTGCCTGCAAAATTTGAGCTGTTGGAACGATCAAGTGGTGTGAAGTTTCAATTGAGAGCCGGGGTCTTTGGTGGTGCACTCAAAAGGGGTTCGTAGAGACGAGTGTGCCATCATACCGAGGTGAATTTTTACTAGTATAATGGCGACAGAAAGATGTCATTTTCCAGAATAGGGAGGCTAGTTTGGTGGGGCAATCTACGGAGACTGATTTATGCACCTGTAGGGGCGCATCAATACTCTACGAACATTGTTACAGAGCTGGTTACTGCATAGACCTACTGAAGGTGGGGATTGACATTCTTTCATGGTCTGTTTGAGTCTCATTTTGCGCTGCTCCCACTGGTTCTTCCCTTTCCCTCTCCCCTCCTGGCTATCACCCCCTCTTCCCTCGCTGTATCCCTCTCTTACATCCGCATAGTTAAACTCTCACATGCTGACACACAGGCACGTGCATGTGCGCACGCAACAATATGCATGAATCAGTATGTTGCTTTTGCATGCCGTTCGACATGCTCCTTATCCATGCCCGTCGGCGTCGTCCCATGCTCCTCGTCCCATACACCTCATTCCATGCTTGTGTGGCTGGCAGGTATTGGAGGGAGCCTTCAAGGGATGCTGGATGGTGGTGGGCCTTCGCGTAGGCGACTACGCCAACGTGTGACATCTGCAGTGTAGTATCTGCCCTTACCATTACTTGATGTGGAACACATCTTTCCAAGTTAACTACAATAATACCGTATGAAGTCATATTTCACAGTGCTGTTATTATTTATAAGAAAAGTGTATTGGGCAGGTCTGAAAGAGGGTGGTAGTACCGTACATGATGTGCTGGTTGTTGGGCTGAGTGCCCCTTAGGATCTTTGGTAGGGTTAAACTCTGGGTAGAGTGATGTAGTAGCGGAAGCGTTTAAATGAAGTCCTTGAACCACCTTGCGCTGGTATGTGAGGGCAAAGTAAGTTGATTAAAACAAGCAAGTACAAAGGTTTATATAAGAGTACAAAGAATACGAAGAGATATAATTAAACTGTTTTACTGTTGCGGTTCGATACAGTGCGACTCGGGCAACTGCTCAATGTCGAGTCAGTTGTGTGTCCTTGCTGTCGCGCCGCATTTGTCAAGTCAAAGGTCGCTGACCTTTGACTTTCGCGTAACCTCCAGCGGTTACTTCAACCTCCGAGGGTTGACTCGCTGGTGCCTCGATATGCTCTGCTTCGCTTGTGCCTTGGTGTTTCGACACGACAGAGGCGCTTTAAGATTGTTTGTTCCCAACACTCCCCTTCGCTTCTGGAGTGTCGCTGCTGGTGACGTGGCTTTGTCCAGTCAGCAGCATGCAGTACTCGAACTTCTGTTTTCCGAGCTTCTTGGTCAAGTAGTCAGCTGCCATCTCGGACGTGGGACAGTAGGATAGTTCAAGTCTCCCCTTCTCAATCTCGTCTTTCACGAAGAAATATCGCAGAGCGATATGCTTCGTTCTGTTCGCGAATCCATTTTTGTTGGCGATGCGAATTGCAGATTGGTTGTCGCAGAACAGAGTGAAGTTGGGTAACTCTGCTAACTTCGCTTCTTCCAGCAGCTCGCGAAGATAGAGTCCTTCCTTGGTGGCTGAGCAGAGTGCAATATATTCTGCTTCAGCTGACGAGAGAGCAATTAATTCCTGCTTGCTCGATTGCCAGGAGATCGGTCCGATAGGTTCGAGGCGGTAGATGTAGCCGGTGCGGGAGCGCCTGTTGTCGGAGTCGCCAGCGTGATCAGCGTCGACGTAGGCGATTAATTTAGTCGGTGTAGTTGTGTTCTTGTAGTAAGTTAGGCCGATCGTTGAGGTACTGACGAAGTAGTGGAGAGCGCGGTCGAGCTCCGCCAGGTGTTCTGCTTCAGGCTTCTTGAGGTAGGTGGCGAGCTGGCTTGCGGAGTATGAGAGGTCGGGGCGGCAGGTGACAGCTGCGAAGAGAAGGCATCCTAGCTTTCTCTGGTAGTCGCGTATCCCGGCGGATTTGAGTAGAGAGGATCCTTCCTTGTGGTTTCCTGTCGCGTAGCGGTAGGGCGTAGAGATGGTGGTAGGTGTGAGCGCGAAGCGTTTGGCGATGGTGTCGGCGTACTTAGCGGCGTTGAGGTAGATCGCGCCTTCTTCTTCCCGAATGTTCAAGCCGAGGTACTGTGTGACGGTAGAGGAGACCGTGAGTGTGAGGTCCCTCTGTAGCTCCCCTTCGAACCAGGTGGTGATGTCGTTAGTGGAGCCGATGTAGAGTAGGTCGTCTACGTAGACGATCAGCAGAATGTAGTCGGTGTCTTTAGTGAGTCGGTACATTCCTTGGTCGTGAGGTAGTTGGCGGAATCCGATGCGAATGAGGCGAGCGTGTAGGTACTGTTGCCATAGCCGCGGAGCTTGCTTGATCCCGTAAAGTGATTTCAGCAGTTGACAGACTTGGTTAGGTTCCCCGTTGGTACCGTGTGGGAGCTCGACGAAGATTTCCACGTCGACAGGTGCGTAGAGGAACGCGTTGGCGACATCGATTTGCCGTAGCTTCCTTTTCTTCATGGCGGCGATCGCGAGGAGGATTCGAAGTGAGGTATGTCGGCTAACCGGGGCGAATGTCTCGGTGAAGTCCCGTCCGTGCTCCTGATCGAATCCACGCACAACCCAGCGTGCTTTGAACTTCTCAATTGTGCCGTCTGCTTTTGTTTTAACGCGGAAGACCCATTTCCCGGTGAGAATGGTCTTGTTCCTTGCCACGCTGATGGGGACAACTTTCCAGGTGTTCCGTTCCTCCAGCGCCTTTAACTCTCTGTCCATGGCTTCACGCCATTTTTCCCTGTGTTCCCCCCCCAGAGCCTGCTGAACCGTCGCAGGCTCCTTAGGAAGAGTGTTGCCGTGGACTGCGGTGACGAGTCCGAGAATCTGCAGTCCAGTCTGTGAGTAGCGGGGAAGAGTTGCATCCTCGGGATAAGCTGCTTCATCTCCCGCTTCTGGATCAGGTATGAAATTCGGTCCTACTCGTTCTGCTTCGTTGGTGTTGACTGTCGCAGGTGTTACGTAACCGTTGTCGGCGAAGTAGTAGAAGGTTTCGGCGTTGACACTTTCGCAAGGGTTATCTTCGTCCATGGGGACGTCGACGGAGCAGAACGGAAGGGGTCCAGCTTCTTCTGATGCGTTGGCCACATTCTGCTCGTCCCAGTCAGCTTCGTCTGCTGCCGAGGCGAAGGCTCGGTCACCACGAAAACCACCTGTGGGATCTTGGTCCTCTTGCAGGTTGGCAAGGTATGTCTGGAGCGTGAGTCGTTCGTAGAAAATGACGTCGCGTGCTGCTACTGTTTCCTTGGAGTGGACGTCAAAGATTTTCCACGCGTTGTAGTTCTTTTCGATGCCGAGGTGTAGTCCCCACTGTGCGCGTTGTGAAAATCGGCCCGCTCGTGCTGCTGGGGGTCGGTACTGTACCATGCATCCGAACACTCGTAACATTTTTGTGCTGCCCTGTTTTCCTGTCCACAGCAGATGCGGTGATGCGTTGTTCGGTAGTGATGAAGATGAGAGCAAGTTGTGCAGCATGACAGCGTGGTCCATCGCGTCAGGCCACTGGTGGTTGGGTAGCCGCATGCCACGCAACAGTTTGCGCATGCTGTTCTGCAGAGTCCTGTTCATTCTTTCTGCTACACCTTGCTGCTGATGGGCGTAGGGAAGAGAGAGGAGCTGCTTGATTCCCCTTTCCGCCAGGTACTGCTTGAATCGCTGAGAGGTGTATTCTCCTCCTCCGTCAGACAGGAAGCTTTTCAGCTTTACGCCCGACTCTCTTTCTGCTACTGGTAGCCAAGCAGCGAATGCTTCGAGGACCATGTCGCGGCTGGGTAGGTTTAGATGCCAGACGTAACGGGTGGCAGCGTCGATGAAGGTGATTGTGTAGTTGTATATTACTTGTCCTGGTTCCCGATTGTACAGGATGTCGCTATACACCTTTTCTAGTGGTGCGTACGCGGGTGTGCTCGGGTTGTGATGAGGAGTGAACGGCCGATGTGGTAAGTCGGCTTCGGGGCAGGTAAGACATGTTCCTCGTGCCCGTTGAAGTTCTCTGCCGTCGAGTAGTAGTAACGAGTCCTTGTCAAGGACTCCTGCTCTTATTGTGTTGTTTAACACAGTGTTGCTTGGGTGTCCCATGCGTGCGTGCCAGATGTCTTCGGAGGCGCGGTGTCCGAGTGAGCGTCGATACGCGTCGGAGTTGGAGTAGAAGCTGGCGGTGAAGTTTGCGCTTCTATGGACTTCCCGTTGAGCCGGATTCAGCTGCTGTGCGGGTGTTGGTGGTGCTCCGTCAACGAGGAGTGGTGTCGTTGTTGCTGCTACTGTTGTTGTTCCTGCTACTGCCGATGATGTCTCTGCTGCTGCCGATGATGTCTCTGCTGCTGCCGATGTTGTCTCTGCTGCTGCCGATGTTGTCTCTGCTGCTGCCGATGTTGTCTCTGCTGCTGCCGATGTTGTCTCTGCTGCTGCCGATGTTGTCTCTGTTGCTGCCGATGTTGTCTCTGCTGCTGCCGAATGTTGTATTGTTACTAACGCACGTGTTCGTTCTGCTTCAGGAATGGTATGTGAATACCAAAAGCCTTCCGGACTGAAGTCGGGGTCGAGATCCGGCGGGTGCGTCCAAGATGTGAAGGTGACGATCCCGTCACTGTCTGCGGTGCCCAGGTCTGGGACGAAATCGAGAACGAAGACATTGTTCTTCAGGACCGCCTTTCCGATGTAGAGGCCGCCCTTCCCGTGGTACAGCTTGAACTCCTGGGTGGTACTGTCGGCTTCCAGATGTATGCCTTTCGCCATCAACTGACTGACGCTCAGTAAGTTGTAGCCAAGTCCTTCTGCTATTAGGACTTTGGACATTTGCAGTATGACATTCGTCTCTCGTGACTGAAGTTGCACTACTCCTTGTCGTCGTGTGCGCAGGTTCTGATTAT